CTGGAACCTTTTTTGGAGGATGGGCTTCTCTGGGCTTGTGTGTATAATTTCCTAATTAGAGAGGTTTGTCCATTTCTTTTTCAGGAGCTCCTAATCTCTTGCTGCTTCTAGTGTTTTTCTGCAGTACTGAAGGTTAGCCATTGCTACTGCAACAAGCTTTCTCACTCTCTTTAATTCTCAGTGGTGCCTAAGTATCTGAAGCATGTTGGCTGTCAGCTCCCAGAAGCAGGCAAAACAGATACTAGTCCCTTGGGCAGTTTTCTAAAAATCTGGATTGTCAAATGCTCCCTTCTTTCCCTCCCTTTGTAGAGAGAAGCCAAGAGTTGAGTGCCTTCTCCCAATCTTACCAAGCCCTGCTGGCCTCCATCTGTGTCACTACAGGCCCTCTGGTTCCACAACATGCTGCCTAGTCTTTCATTTGTTTTCAGTGCCCCCAGGAGTCCAAACTGTGTGGCTTCTGTTTGTGCTCCCAGTCAAGTTAGACAGAAACTGGCCCCTTGGGCAGCCCTATGAAAAGCTGGAATTTTGAACATCCCCACCTCCACTCCCCAGCTTTGAGGGGGAGCTCAGCTGTGCTTGCTTTCTGAGTGGCAATCTCAGATAAAGTGAATTGGCTCTTGTAATCCATTTCAGTGCTATTGTTATTGGCTTTGCACTTGCCCTGGGGTATTGTAACTTCTTAACTGATTTCTAGAGTACTCATAAAGGTATTTTGATGCATATATTGTTAGTTTGGTATCTCTGTGAGGAAAATAATGTGGGGACTTTCTATTCTGCCAGCTTGCTGTTGTCTGCTCTTGCTTCATGCCTTTTTAATGCCAAATAATATTCCAGTGTACAAATAAACCATGTTTTATTTATTCTTTCATCAACTGATCAACATTTGGATTGTTTTTACTTTTTGGCCTTTATGAATAATGCTGTTATGAACATTCGTGTGCATTGTTTTGTGTGGATGTGTTTTTATTTTTACTGTATACCTAGGAGTGGAATTCCTGGGTCACTTGGTAATTATATGTATAAGTTTTGAGGAACTGCCAGAATGTTCAGTAGTTGTGGCACGTGGGCTCAGTAGTTGTGGTGCTCGTGCTTAGTTGCTCCACGGCATGTGGTATTCCCAGACCAGGGATCAAACCTGTGCCCCATGCATTGGCAGGCGGATTCTTAATCACCGCGCCACCAGGGTAGTCCCCTTTGCTTGTTTTTGTTTTGTTTTTTTGCTTGTTTGTTTTTTGTTTTTGTTTTGTTTTTTTGCGGTACGTGGGCCTCTCACTGTTGTGGTCTCTGCTGTTGTGGAGCACAGGCTCTGGACGCGCAGGCTCAGCAGCCATGGCTCACGGGCCCAGCTGTTCCGCGGCATGTGGGATCTTCCCGGACCGGGGCACGAACCCGCGTCCCTTGCATCGGCAGGCAGACTCTCAACCACTGCGCCACCAGGGAAGCCCTGCTTGTTTTTTAATTGGGCTATTTGTCTTTTTATTATTGAATTGTAAGAATTCTTTACATGGTCTAGATATAAGTCCATTATTAGATATGATTTGCATATACTATCTCCTGTTTTGTGGGTTTACCTTTTATATTCTTTTTTTTTTTTTTTTTTGCGGTATGCAGGCCTCTCACTATTGTGGCCTCTCCCGCTGCAGAGCACAGGCTCCAGACGCGCAGGCTCAGCGGCCATGGCTCACGGGCCCAGCCGCTCTGCGGCATGTGGGATCTTCCCGGATCGGGGCATGAACCCGTGTCCCCTGCATCGGCAGGCGGACTCTCAACCACTGCGCCACCAGGGAAGCCCTTTTTATATTCTTGATTATATATTTTGAAGCACAAAAGTTCTTAATTTTGATGAAGTCTGGTTTGTCTTTTTTCTTTGGTTCCTTGTGCTTTTGGTGTCATACCTAAGTACCCCTTGCCTAATCCAGTTGTCTAAGCACCATTTGTAGAAAAGGGTATTCTTTCACCATTGAATGGTCATGGCACCCTATTTGAAAATCTGTTGACCATAAATGTGATGGTTTATTTCTGGGCTGTCAGTTATTTTTTATTGATATGTATTTGTGTCTTTATGCCAGTACCACAGAGTCTTAATCTTTATAGTAAATTAATTATTGTAGCTTTGAAATCAGAAAGTGCAAGTCCTCCAACTTTATCTTTTTTCAAGATTGTTTCGGCTCAAGATTGTTTCAGCTTTGCATTTCTGTATTTATTTTAGGAGTTTCTTATCTTTTCTGCCAAAAAGCGAGCTGGAATTTAGATAGGGGTTGTGCTGAATCTGTAGGTCAGTTAGGGCAGTGTTGTCACTGTAACAATGTTAAATTTTCCAAACTATGAACAAGGGATGGCTCTTCATTAATTTAGGCTGTCTTTGATCTCTTTCAACGTTTTGTAGTTTTCAGTGTAGAAGTCTTGCACTTCTTTTGTTCATTTTATTCCTAAGTATTTTAACCTTTTTCGATGCTATTATAAATAAAATTGGTCTCTTAATTTCATTTTTGGATTTCCCATTGCTAGTATATGGAAATACAGTTGATTTTTATATATTGATCTTACGTGTTGCAACCTTGCTGAACTCATATTTTAGCTCTAATCATTTTATTGTGAATTACTTAGGATTTTCTATGTGCATGATCACGCCATCAGCCAAAAGAGATAGTTTTACTTCATCCTTTCTAATCTGGATGCCTTTTATTTCTTTTTCTTGCCTGATTGCCCTAGCTAGATACTTCAGTGCATTGTTGAGGATAAGTAGAGTGAACAGACATCCTTGTGTTACTCCTGATCTTAGGGGGAAAGCAGCTGGTTTTTAATCATTTAACTATGATATTAACTGTGATTTTGATAGGTGGCCTTTCAGGTTGAGAAAGTTCCCTTCTGTACCTAGTTTGTTTGTTTTCTATGCCTATTGAGATGATTATTCCTGTTTATTCTGTTAACATGAATATATTAATTTACAGTTTTCTTTTGGGAGCTTAAATTTTCCTGGCCCATCAGACTGCATATCCACAGGAGGACCAGTCACAATTTCTCAAGGACTTGTTCTCTCCTGCTCCCCTTTTACTTTGTGCTGAGGCACCTTTCCTTGTGGTCTCCTGGGGGTTGCGACGTGGTTTACTTATGTTTCACCGTAACTCTGAGGATAGAGCCCTTTGAGGCCAGTTTAATCTCCGTTAAACTTCTGCCTCCTAGGGCTTCCCTGGTGACGCAGTGGTTGAGAGTCCTCCTGTCGGTGCGGGGGACATGGGTTTGTGCCCCAGTCTGGGAAGATCCCACATGCCGTGGAGCGGCTGGGCCTGTGAGCCATGGCCGCTGAGCCTGGGCGTCCGGAGCCTGTGCTCCGCAACGGGAGAGGCCACAACTGTGAGAGGCCT